CATTTTTACTTCGCAACACACATTCAGCCACAAGTCATTATAAGTTATTATGTTATGTTTATTTTTGCATAGTTAACAAATTTAGGATACCTGAAATTTTTGGTTCAAATGTAAACCGAAAAACTGAACCAAACTGAACGGTTCGGTTTCGGTTTGGCCTTTAAAAATTCAGATTTTAAACCAAACTGAACCGTTCGGAGCTTTAGTAATGATCTTCAAGATATACAGAAGGCTGCTGTATATCTTGGTGAAAAAAATAAAGGAAAAAGCATAATGATCTTCAAGATATACAGAAGGCTACTGTATATCTTGGAGAAAAAATAAAGGAAAAAGCCATAATGATCTTCAAAGATATACTGTATATCTTGAAAAAAAAAATAAAAAAAGTTGTAATGATCTTCAAGATATACAGAAGGCTACTGTATGTCTTGGAAAAAAATAAAGGAAAAAACATAAGTATAATGATCTTCAAGATTATACAGAAGGTAGATATACAAACAGCAAATTTCAAATGTATAAAAACAATATTTATTTTCATAATAATAATAGATTAATAAATACATAATTGAGACTTATAAGTCCATAAGGATGTAAATTTAAACAAATACATAATTGAAGAGTATAGGAAAAAATTCAAGGAATGTAAATTAAATGAATATGTAATTAAGAAAAAAATTGTGTGTCTTGCAAGTTCATATGGAAGTAATTGTAAATTATACAATTTTCTATCATATCATATAACTTTTTATAATCAGTTGTGGACAATTCTCCAATTAAATTGGAATTCAAATAAACAGTGTTATAAATCTTTTCTTTGTTTACTAATTTAAAAAGCTTGTATACTCTTATAGCATTTGTAAAATGCCTTTTTTCGCTCATAAACATTTTTTCTTTTACAACAACCCTCCATTTCTCTCTATAGTTATTATATTTTAGTAACTCCTCTCCAATATAGTAATAATATATTAATTTTTCAATTCTTCCTTGCTTTCTTCCCAATGTAGTTATTTTATTTAATAATTTTTCACGCCTAGTAGCCAAATTATCAGTTTCTTCATATGGGACCATTACCACCTCTTCAATTCTTGAGTCAGGTGAAAATAAGTCATCAATATATTTATTAAAATCATCAGATCGCGTTAACTTAACCATGGTTGTGATTTGTTATTAATTAGTTATTATTAATGATGTTAAAATTTTAAATTGTTTTTTTTTTGTTAGATTTGCCTTCGTTTTATATCTTAATACATACCATACTAATAATTTAATAAAAAAAAATTTTTTCTGATGTGATTTCATGATTAGTCGCATCGAAAATCTTATACTAAATTTAGAAGGTACTGTATATCGCATGAGAAAATAATTTAATAAACAATTAAATATAAAGAATATTTATTCACCAACTCTAATATTTTTTTTGTTTGATTTTTGTTCAAATTAAATCATCTAACAATATAATAACAACAAGATCGGTATGCAACTAATAATGACTTAATATAATCTTAATATAGTGCGTAATGTAATAAACCATTGAATGACAAGTAGATCTTTTCAATCGAAGACGAATCCTTCTATTAGAAACATTAGAATAATAAGTAAGAAGAAAGCACATTAAATAACATTATGTCGTGCTATTATACCACTACCTTATATTTCTTTGTATATTATCCGCTTTTGCTGATTCCTAGAAAGTTCTCAAACTACACTGCATATTAAATATACATCTTATATGCGGAATCAAAACATACTAGTATTAGTATCTTTTCGGTATATTACAAATTCCGTGCTTTATACACAGAATCAAAAATGCACCTTTTCAGTATTAATACATTATAACCTTATATGGGACTGTCTACAGCAAAAACCACCTCCGAGGTAAATAACTCATTTTGTGTAAATACAAAATCAAAATTTGT